ACTGACCATTCAATCTGAGACCTCGCTTTTCCTAGAAAGGCCCCAGTCAATGATTTAGCAGCAGGAGCATGGAAACTGGCCACCTCTGCCAAACTCCTCTACAGGACAATCTTCACTTACAAGCTTTCCATTGGGTGGCTGTCAGATCTGTAATATAATTTAAGACTCTCCATGTAGCTATTCAGTTTCCTTTCCATTTTCCTTTGCCAGATGTCTGTAATGTACTGTAGTCTAAAGACTGTCTCTATCCAATTCTTTATCTTTGCAGACTTTATCCCACTATAAACCACCTCCTCCATTTTTAACACTCTCTCAGGATCTCCTTCCCAGATTGTATGCCAAGATAATATTTGACATACCATTTCCACAACAAAGATACAGGTAGTCTCCCTACTATTTTGTAGCTGTATCACTCACTTATATACACACACCCACCCTGCATACAAACATAATCATAAACATTAGTCTATCGATCAAATCAATGATACTGCTAAAACTTACTCTAAATCTTAAAATTTCAAATTTACAATATATTTTAATGTATTAATATTACTTTTTATATAATTTCTTACATTTTTAATCACTTATTTTTATTTATAATCCTGCAATAATTATGCCTGTTAAATACACACAATCTCAAACTCATCAAGCAAATAAAGAAATCCAACAGAAGTTTCCATATTATGATTAAATCTTTCACTTTCTAGTAGAACCAATATGCTAGTTAGAAATAGTTAGCTGGCATTACAGCATACTAGGGAAGAAGGTAACTTTTTATTTTAAACACTTCAGAATTTGCAATGCATTCTGACATGTATTATCACATTTTTCAGGTGTTACTCTAGGATTACAGATAAGGAAATTAAGTGTACGGTTACTTTTCTCAAGTCAAAACTAGAATCCAAATTTTTACAATGGTATGACCTCAATAGCTAGCTATCAATACTTTCTAATGCTTCTTAACTGATACCTGATTAAAAACAAAACAAAAAAACCCCTTCAGTCTAGATTACCATCAAAGACCAAGACATCCTATCCTATCCTATTAAGTCGTTGACTCCATGAGAACAAATTGTTAAGTAAACTCGTGGTGGTGGGTGGGGGGGGGTGGTTGTGTTAATAAAATTTAAACAAACAAACAAAAAACCTCTCCCAGTAAAAAACCCATGCTATGTCAGAAGCCAATTTATTTAAAGATTTATTTCTTATGCATACAAGAGTTGTGGTGTAGGCCAGAGGTGCAGGGGAGTCAGAGGATTCCCTGAGACAGAGTGGGGAGCAGAACATGCAGACTGACTGACTGAAATACTCCGCTGAGGGGAGCGACAGGGAAGATAGGCAAGGTCTGCTGAGCCAGGTGGGCAGGCAACCTGGATGGGGATCTAAGGAGCTACAGTGGCTGCGGACAGCTTCATAGTGTTGACACTTAATCCCTTATGCCAACAGGAAGGCCTGGAAGCCAACTTAAATGATTCTCTACTGACATAGTTTAAATTTACAGTGTTTGGGAAATAAAGAACTTTTGTGGTCCTCAAGCCAAAGAAACTGCAAAGTATGTTTTAAAAATCCAATAAATTGCCTGTTATAGTTTAAAAAGCAGCCATGTTGTGCATTAGTTCAAGATACAAAGAAAACTAAGATAAGTCTTAGAAAGCAGTGACATTTTACTTCTAAATGTGGAAACATCAAAACACTAACCTTTACTTTCTAGCCTTGAAGAAAATCAGCAAGGTCCACCAAAGGAGTAAAGCCAGACATTCCTGTCATAGTATCATTGCTGACTTTAATAAACCAAGCTGCCATTTGTTGCCCAAGAGGCAAGTTTGGGAGGCTTGAATGGAGAAAGGGAGTAGAAAGAAACTGCCATCGAAGTCTGGACATTAAGCTGATAACCCTCTTTGCTAGTACAGGTCATCAGTCAGGACACAGCCAAAACTAGTCACCTTAGCCAGTCAATAATGTTTAGAGTATAGAGACTCAAGAAGATTCTTCTGAATAAGACTGGAAAGAATTCTGTACTACACAGCAGATCTTCAAATAACAATGTCCTTAAATAACATCTATGAATTTTCAGGACTATTTTAATATCAGCATTCAATAATTTTTAAAAGTATGCCTTTTTATTAAAAATTCAGTTAAACTTTATCAACAATCAGTATACATTTAACAAGAAGATCCATTTTCAGCTTTAGGAGATACTGTCTATTGTACTTACTTCTGTATAACATTTTGCAAGCTTAACATCATACCCAGCTCTCCTTTCATTTTTTCTCTGTTAGCACGGCATTCTGCCAAGTATCGAAGTGCCTACACAGAAACAGTGATAAATTAATTCACATGTCCAGACTATTCAAAATTACACACACTACTAACATACTGTGAGAAAAAATAGAAAAAGAAATTTTGTTTTTAGAAACAGGTTCTGAAATGTTTAGAAACTTCTTGAAATCTCAGCGCTATTCCCTGAGGGAAAAATGATCTTCTCAGCTGCAATAGCTGAATCTGCTCTTTGAAACGAAAGGTCCTCTGCAAGGTCAAAATGAAGTCGTTTTGGTTTTATTTTCATTTCATCTTGACAAGGCTACAAAGAACAATATTCTACTTATTAATTTTAAGGAGTAGGTCCAATAGCCATCATTTCCCTAGACACTTTATATACTTATTAATTAAACTGCTGAGAAGGACAAAGCATACAGCACCTATGTGGAATGAAAAATTCTAGTTTTACACTGCATTTTTAAATATATTTTCTTACTAAAATAAAAGACAGACTCAGAAATGTCTATTTAGTGAGTTAAGCCAACTTTCCTAGGATGCTTTTCTATTTACATTTTTACAAGTATTTCCCTTACATGCTGCTTCTTTATAGAGATGTCATGTCCCCTGTATACCTGTATATTGTTACCATCTGTGTACCTCCTAGTCTTCAGCAATCACTTAAGATTTTGCTCCTGATTTTCAGGGGACTCGATGGACTACCACATTCAAAATCTTGCTGTCCTTTAGACTTCATTCCACTGTGCCTGCTCATTACCAAAAAGGGTTCAATTCCACCTATGAAGTCATAAATTTTACAATCTCTCTGACTACAATATTCTGTCCTTTCTAAAACTACTTCTACAACCTCTACTTTAGTCATAAAGTAGAGGGCAGCCTTGGGAGCTGTCCTTCCTCCATTGAAAAAATTAGAAACAGAACACTATATATTAGATGCCAGTTTTAGACATCGAAAGACAGGCCATAATCTCTGAGAGAAGTGATGAGGTAGGTTTACCATATTACAGCTCAGCTCTCCAGATTGCAGCATAAAGAGTGGAAACCCCACTGCAGTCCAGTGGTTATGGACAAAGAGATCAGAAATGGGGAGGCTGGGGTCCTGCAGATAATATCTGGTCTTTGTTCCCAGTATCCTGGTATAGAACTCCTAAAATCTTTGGAATTTTCTGAATGACAGAATATGAGCAACAACACATTTTTGTTATTCATGAGGAGCCCCTTTTGAGCACACCAAGAGTTTATTTTAATAAGTGACATAGGTTAGACTGCCTAAGAATGGGGCTGGTGACAAGCAAGATCAAGTGATTAGAAAGTATGAACTTTCAATCCTACCCACTGACCTGCAGGGAGAGGGAAGGAGGAATGGAGAGAAAGATCTAGAAAACTTTAGGAGTTTTAGTTCAGGACTTGCCCTATTTACCAGTTGTATTTATCCTTTATAATAAAGGGGTAAATACAGATAAAGAGCCCTTCTGAGTTTTCAGCCATTCTGGCAAATTATTGAACTTAAGGTGTCAGGAACACCCAATTTATAGCTGGTCAGTCAATAGTGCTGGTGATCCAACCTCACAACTGGTATTTGAAGTTAGGCAGTCTTCTAGGAGTCAGCCTTAAATTGAGGGACTTTGATGCAATTAAGAGTCAGAATTGAACCGCTGGACACTCAGCCAATGTCTACCAAGGATTTAAGCATTGAATGGTATCAGAAATCACCCTAAGTGGTTAGAATTTGTAAAGAGAAATCTACAGAGCAAGAGAGCACCAAAGATTTATAAGGAGGTCCCTAAGAATCTTTGGTTAAATGCTGACTTAAACAAGTCGGGGGTAAGAGACCACAGAGTTAAGGAATAAAACCACCAGTAAATAAGGAAAACAATTCCTGGAGCTTACAGAGGACTGGGAAATGTCTGTGACACATCAGCCAGAGGTGAAAATGCCTGAGGAGTATGAGAATCCTCAGAAGCATCTCCTTAGTAGTAGTGACATCACAGAATAAGAGCTATATTAGACCCACACTAAAAACAATAAAGAAGACCATGAGCTATTGTGAAATCAAAAATAAAGGTATTAAAACAGCTATTATAAATATACTCGTAAAAGTAGGAAAAGCTGCATAGTCAGGGAAGAAATGAATGATATTGAAATGACCAACTGTAACACATAATATCAGAAATGAAAAGCACAGGGGCTAGGATTAACAGCAGGTTAGATACTATAGGAACAAAAAAAATCAGATGAACTTGTTAAAAATATAGCAATAGAAGCTATGCAAACTGAAGCATGGTGGGGGGGCTGACTTAAAAAAAAAAAAGAGAGAGAGACAGCAGTACAACAGTGACTGAAATAGCTAGCATACATGTTAATATATATTGTAGTCCCAGGAGAGGAGTAAGAAGGAAAACAGACATCTGAGAAAATAATGACTATAAGACAATTTACCAAGTTAATGGGAAAAAAAAAAACCAGATATTTTATGAATTTAAACCCAGATGCAGAGGCCTAACAAATCCCACATAAAACAACAAACAACAAAACACAAAACCATCTAAATTAAACATTAAAATCAGTTGCTGAAAACCAGTGATAAAGAAGTCAGAAAAAGCTACTATGTAGAAAGGAACAAAGAAATACAACAGCCATATTAAAAATCATACAAACAAAGCAATTAAACACTTTTGAAGTATTAGGAAAAAAGTTAACTAGCAAACCTGCATTATAGAAAAAAAGTTACTTCTCCAGGAAGAAAAAAATAAAAAAGGTACCAACAGAAATCTGAAATTATATTAAAGAATGAATACTAGGAATGGTAAGAAGATAAATATAACTTTGATTTTTAAATGCTAATCTCCTAAAAAGAGACTGTATAAGTTATTTAATAATTGTTACTTTATGCAAAAAAATACCATAGATTTTTCAACACTGAATGTAAGTAAAATGTACAACAAAAAAATGGCACAAAGGACAAGAGAAAAATGAAACATACTATTGTATGATTCTTATAATGCAGTGTATGATTTATATAAAATCAGACTGTTGTAAGTTAATAATGCATACTGAAAAATCTAGATCACCTAAAAAATTAAAATACAAACAAAAGAGTATTGCTAATACAGCAACAGAAAAGATTAAATGAAGATATAGATGGCTGAGGGTGACGAGGGGCATATTATAGATACCATACCTGTTTAACTTCATTGAGAACTTTCACCACTGACCCCTCTACAAATCCCTCCAAGTGAACATTAGTTCTGTTTCCCCATGAAACATGTCTTCCCTTTCTACTCAGCCTCGCATCTGTAGTCCACCATCTCATTCACTATCTCACCAAGATTCTAGACACCTAGTGTAGTCATTCTGTCCAATTTACCAGGCCAAGAATCAACCCTTGCAAATCTAACTTCTTGCTCTCAGGGTCGGACCACACTAATGAAGGCCTCACAATGTGAACAACCGCCATTAGCCACCTTTCTCAGTTTCTGTGTAATGAGGGCTTCTTAAACCTCTCTGACTTCAGTGACTGCCTGTACCTTACTAAATTTAAGCAAGCTCAAATCTAGCCTATTAAAAAGTTTCCTTCAACCCCTTGTCCTGATCTACAGACCAACAATCCCTCTTTTCATCCTTATTGCAAATCTTCAATTCTCTTCCCACTCCTGTAGCAATTATTAGAGAAATAGGACCAAAGCATGGGCTATGCAAATTTTCCATTTGTTACTACTATTTATTCATATCTGTTATCACTGTTAAAGCTTCTGTTTATGACTATGGTTGATGGCACATGGGTGACTTGGTGATGGGAAACCCGCAGGGATTACAACTGAGATGAAAAACAAAAAATGTACAAAATGATGTAAAAATAAACTGTTAAAAAAATAAAAATAAAAAAGATATACAAGTGGGCAGAGCATCATGTGAGAAAGAACAAAAAGATCAGAGATAGAGCCTGATTCCATAAGCCCCGGTCTACCACTGGAAAGGAAGAGTATGAATAGTCACATTACTGGGACCAGGTAATACATGTGACTGTTCTGAATTGTGTCACTGCCTCCCCAAATTCACATGCCACTTTCTCAGAATGTGGCTGTTTGGAAATAGAGTATTTAGAGAAGTAACTAAGTTAAAATGAGTTTTTAGGGTGGCACTAATTCAATATAACTAGTGTCCTTGTTCAAAAGAGGACATTTGGACACAGACAAACATAGATGCCATGTGACAATGAAAATGAACATTAAGGAGACCAGGAGAATCTGGCAGAAACCAGCCTTACTGACACCTTGTCTCAGATGCTAAGCATTCAGAATTGTGAAAAAATAAATAAATAAATAAACTATGGTACTAAAGCCACCCAGTCTGTGCTACTTTGTGATGGAGTTTTGGCAGGGATAGTTTAGTAGCCTGGAAGTAGCAGGGCATGAACACTCTGTTTTTCAGAGTTGTTCTTGGCTAGGGAAGCCATAAAAAATATTGGATGCTGGCCCTCCCTGGTGGCGCAGCGGTTTAAAGCACTGCACTGAGAAACTAAAGCCACTTCCGCATGAGTTCGATCCCTGCCTGCCCAGGAGGTGACCACATGGCGTGGCAGACCTCTCCTGACCCGCCCGCTGCTCCCCTCAGCAGTGTACTTCATTGATCAGCCTGTTCTGGCTTCCTGCTCTGTCTCTGGTGAATCCTCTCACCCTCCACATCTCTGGCCTGTACCCCAGTTCTGTATGAATAAATAAATAAATCTTTTAAAAAAAAAAATATTGGATGCACCACAGAAAAGATGTGAAAAAAGAAAACCCACATTCATATTGCTCAACAAAAACAGCAAAATTTGAGAAAGGGAGGGAAGATCAGATCTAGAAACTCTGGAAGCAGACCTTTTTAGGTCCCATTGTCCAGCAACTGGTTTTATATGTTTTTAAAGATCTTTTTATTTATGCATACAAGAACTGGGGTGTAGGCCAGCGATGTGGGGGTGAGGTGGATAGTGGTGAGATGATTTATCAGAGAGGGAGTAGAGTAGCAGAACAGGCAGATATACTGAAATGCATTGCTGAGGGAAGCAGATGGCTGGACAGGAGAGGTCTGCCATGCCATGTGGGTCAGTTCCATGGCCAGGAATTAAACTCATGCTGCAATAAATGCAGATAACTTCATATGGCTGCCCTTTAAACCATGACATCACCAGGGAGGGCTCCAGCAACTGGTTTTAGCCAACTGTGTTAAGTGAGACTTTCTAGGCAAGCTTTTTGCTCCGCATCACTCCTTACCTTATTAAAGCAAGGCTCACAATTTGATCAACTGATACCAAAAAACTTAACAGTTTCTTAAAAATAATGTATAATTTATTATTTGTTATTTACATTACTAAATCTAAAATTGGAAATATGCTTAAGTGTAATTGTCAAGAATGGCTATTACTTTTTAAGATACTCACTTATTTCTCTGTATTTCACTTGTTTTTCTATATTCCACATCTAAGTGGCACAATCCAGTGTTTATACTCTCAAACACAATCAAACTTGTAAATCAATGTTACCTAAATTAAAAAAAAATACTTGCAAATCAAAAAAAAAAAAGCTTCCGTTTATCAAAGTAAAATGGGAAAGCTATACTATATAGCTTAATTTCTAAAAGAAAAAACCTGTATTAAAATTTTAGAAGACATTAAAATAGAGAAAATGTGTGGTACCATCACCATCATTCAGCTTCAACAACTATCAAACATTATTTGACCTACCTCCACAACCCAAGGAGCATTTTCATGTATCTTTTATACATATATATACAGAATACATTACAGCAAACCTCGGAGAATATGTTAATTTCATTTGTAAATACTTAGTACATTCCGAAAAGGCTAGATTTTTTTTTTTTAAGATTTATTTATTTGTACATACAGAACTGGGGTACAGGCCAGAGGCTCAGGGGCGGTGAGAGGATTCACCAGAGACAGTGGGGAGCAGAACAGGCAGATCGATGAAGTACACTGCTGAGGGGAGCAGCGGGCGGGTCAGGAGAGGTCTGCCGCGCCATGTTGTCACCTCTGGGGCAGGCGGGAATCGAACTCATACGGAAGTGGCTTTAGCGTCTCAGTGCAGTGCTTTAACCCGCTGCGCTACCAGGGAGGGCCCACTAGATTTTTTTTTTTAACTTAACCTCTTGATACTCTTAGCAATACTCTTTGAGGTAATAAAGGTTCTTAATATCATCTACTATCTAATCCATATTCATTTTAAACTACCTTAAAAATAAGTTTATGGTTGATTTAGTGAAATCAGGTTTATTCAATTCAGGCATGCATATTATACTTGGCTGGTAATTTCCTTATATCTCTTTTAATGTGTAAGTTACTGCTCTCCCCAAGTTACCATTCTTTTTAACTTCATTTATTTTCCAAGAACCAGATTATTTTCCCTTTCACCACATTTTGGTATTTGCCTGGTTGCCCTGTGTTGTTCTTTGACATGTTTCTCTGGTCCCTCATAACATGGTTATTTCTCATAACATGGTATTTCTTTCTGCAGTATTAGCTATAATCCTGTATATTTTTCTTTTTTCCTATCCTTTCCTTCTTTTTCCATTCCATCTTATATGAAAACAAATGCCGTATCCATGTACTGATGAACAGATAAATAGAATTTGGCATATCCATACACTGGAATATTACTCAGCCATGAAGTATTGATATATGACACAACATGGATGAACCTTGAAAATACCTTGTTCAGTGAAAGAACAAAGGTCAGTGAAACCAGCCATAAAGACCAATTATTTTATATTTATGTAAAAAATATTAGGCATTTTGCCATAATAGACAAATGGCAGCTGTTTAGGAAGGACAGCGGGGGAGCGAGGGAGCAACAGGTAAAGGGAAGGCGATAAAAATATTCTAAATGGACTCTAATGATGGCTGAACACTTGTCAAAACCCACTGAACTGTATACTTTAAACAGCTGAGTTGTATGGAGTATGATTATAACCTGATAAAACTGTCACAAAATAACTTTTAAATTCGATTGTTTAGCTGTACTAACGTCATATAAATTAAGATTTCTTATTAAGTGAAAAAAGGGAGTTGTAGAATATTCCACACATGTAGTGCACTGTTTTTTGTGTCAGAGTAAAAACAATGTGATATACTTCCATTTTTATAAAAAGATTACATACACATATTTGCACATACATGAACACACTATTATTTGCTGTATAGCACTTTACTTTTTTTACTGTGCCATCGTAACATTTTCGAACTCTGCTCAATCGCTAGACTGTAACACTGAGACTGAAATTACTAAAGGCAACTTACCAATAAAGCTGAGTGGACAACAGGGGGATTGGGGTGGTCCATGAATAAAATAAGGCCAGGCAGACATCCCTGATCCTGGACAATGGCTCTTCTATTTAACGGATCTGCTGCTAGATCCCGTAGCTGGTTAACTACTGATAGAGCATCAGGTTCTTCATTCATGGTGGAAGTGGAAGAATTCATCTTCTATGCCATACACATGAACAAATTCTTCTTAAATTCTGTAGAAATTGTTTGCAAAATTAGAACTAGACTGCTGAGGTAATCATGGCATTTGTCAAGTAATGAAGATTACAACACCTTTAAAAAAAAACAAATCAGTATAAATCATACAAAAACTGGCAATTCTAGTTTAAAAAAATTAAAATGAACAAAAGAAATTGACTAAAAAATCAATTTATGTGTGTACAATTTAAAGAACATGTCATCTCCAATATTTCAGTAAATTCCTTCTTAGCAATACATATTTCAATATTAAAGTCAATATAAACAAGCTCTTCACAGTTCAATTTTTGTAACCTTTGCTATACTTCTCTAACAGTAACAGTAACAGTGATATTCTTCCTCTCTAGAACATTTCTGGAGTCTAAGACAAGTGCCTCAGGGCGAAGTGGTTAGTTAATAGCTTGATTCCTTATCCATCTATACACAAAATCCAGTAGAGTGGGTCCAGAAAAGATGAAATCATCTAGAAAAAGGAGGAACCAAAGAAGGTTGTGAAAAAGAAGTCAAGAAGGGTATCTGGCCTTATGTCTCAGGTTAAGTTAAGTTTGGGAAATCACTGAAACTGAAATGAATCCAAGTACACTTTGGTACAGCACAGCACTATGAAGCTAAAGCCACTTCAGCATAAGTTCTATCCCCACCCCTGGAGGTGACCCACAGACCTCTCCTGACCCGCCAGCTGCTCCCCTCAGCAGTGCACTTCATCGATCTGCCTGTTCTTCTTCCACCTCTGACTCTGGTGAATTCTCTCACAGCCCCTGCACCTCTGTTCTGTACCCCAATTCTATATGTACAAATAAATAAATCTTAAAAAAAGTTACATACTGAACATAAAAAAGCCAAAGAAATAAAACACTAAAGAATAAGCTTCATATAAGAAGATAAAAATACTAATTTCAATTAACTAAGTTACATAGAATATTATTAGCACCACACTCTAACCAAGTGAGCTAACCGGCCTCATAGAATATTATTAAGGAGAATATAAAGCTGTATAAGTACTATCCACAAATTAATAAATTAATACTAATTTCAACAACAAACCCTACTGGGGAAGGGAGATGGCAACAATATTGTAACTCAAAAAAAAAAAAGAAAGAAAAGATTAATTCATTCCACGAGAAAAAGGTAATAATAGCAGTACTAGTGGTTGCATCCACACGTGTGTGTGTGTGTGTGTGTGTGTGTGTCTGCGTTACACAAGTTTTTGGAGTAGTGGTTGAGAGATATTTTTCCCAGGAAAGATATACATTAAACATAAAAAAGCAGATTAGATCTCAGTTTCCACTACTTGGTAACTAAATTAGGCAAATCACTTAAACTTGATCTCAGTTTCTTAATCTAAAATGGAGTTAATTATAGAAACTACTAATGGTGTACAGTTCAAATAAAATGACAGTTGCATGAAGGGCTTAGAAGATTAGTGCCCAGCATATAGAAAATGCTTAATAAATGATAGTTTTAAGTTGCATGGGGGGAAAAAAATCAATGTAAAATAGTATTATTCAATAAATGGTTTTGGAATAACTAACCAATTTTAAAAACACAACTAAAACTCTTTAATTCATTATTTAGCAAAAGAAAAAAGTCATATTCTAGGAAAAGTGTATTAATTATTGTTTTTTAAGTCTGCGAGTAAAAGCGCCAGGAGTCACCTAGTGTGCATTTTAAAATAAGTCCTAGGACCCTCGTTGGTGGCACAGAGGGTTAAAGCACAGCTACAAAGCTAAAGCCACTTTAGCACAAGTTTGATTCCCAGCCAGGGAGGTGACCCACATAGTGTGACAAACCTCTCATGGCCCACACCTTTTGCTCCCCTCAGCAATGTACTTCATCAGTCAGCCTGATCTGCTCCCCACTATGTCTTTGGTGAGTTCTCTCACCACCCTTGCACCTCTGGCCTGTACCCCAGTTCTGTATGCACAAATAAATAAATCTTTATAAATAAATAAATAAATAAAAAGAAAAAATGATAGAATTTGACAGGCAATTTTCTTAAAAAAAAAAATTACTGCAGCAATAAACATAACTTTAAAACAAGCAACAGACTGAATAGAGATAAGACTAAATTGTTCACTGCCTCTTAAGAGGGTATGCTACCTCTTAGATGCCTCCATTATCACCATCAGAATATTTCTTTTTGCAAGTCAGCTAACCCATGAGCTTTATGTGATGTAACTAAGGTAAATCCTATCCCAAATGGGCTCTGTGGATCTGATATAGGTTCAAAGGCCCAAGAACCAAGTCACAAATAAAAATGTTCTATGTTGGGCTCTCCCTAGTGGAGCAACAGATTAAAGCACAGCACCATGAAGCTAGCCATAGCCATTTTACGAGTTTGATCCCCAGCTGGGGAGGTGACCCACAGGGCATAGTAGACCTTTCCTTGCCCACCCACTACTCCCCTCAGCAGTGTACTTTGTCAGTCTGCCTGTTCTGGTCCCCACTCTGTCTCTGGTGAATCTTCTCACCTGCTGCACCTCTGGCCTGCCCAGTTCTGTATGTATAAATAAAATCTTAAAAAAAAAGTTCTATGTCATGGTCCACTTACAAAATGGAAAGCTCCATTCTCATCTAAGGAGCTTTGGATTAACTATTCAATGTGAATAATTCTGGTCTTCTATTGCTTTGAGATGAACAAAAGTAAAAATATTTAAAACTTACAATTTTCAAAGCTCAACTGATAAGGAGATGGGTTCAATCAGGATCTGCCTAGGAAAAGGCTGGAAATACAACACATCAAAGATCCTAGAAAAACAAACAGGCAGAAGCTGCAATTAGGTACAGCCATTTCCTATGGCTTTAAAATGAAGCAAAGAAAGGCATACAAGTTTGACCCCTAAATAACTCGGGTTTTTAAATAAAATGCCAGGAAATGACTCCTCAATGTTAAGAGTTTGTTTTTTCTTTTTCTGCTTTAATTTTCTTGATGATACCAAGTTACTCTGTGAATTGCCTGAATCCTGTTAAATGACCAATTATTCCTATAGACCACAGATACTACATAGGTCTTTCAACATAGCTATACAGAAAAATGGAATAGGTGAGGCAAAATTAGAATTTAACCCCAATTCATATGTTTGATACATTTAGTGTTTTTGTTAATTTTCTATCAATTTCACACAGTCAAGAATCATTTGCAAAATTGTTAGTCTTCATAAACTGTAAGAAATATTTTTAAATTATGTATTTTGGTACTCATTCTATCATATGCTCTCTTATTCTCAAGTTTGGCAGATATCAAAATAAATTTTACAAAGCTTTTTAAATATACTGGCCTCAGCAATTTTATGGCAACCATAACAATTTAACCATTACATATGCAATATTAAGTTAAAAAAAATTTTTGCTTTTCCTACAGCAGACTTGTTTTCTAGCTGCATTTTACATATACAGCACAATGAAAGAAGAACACATCTATGTGGCCTACATCAGAATAAGTTGGATTACTAAAATGCAGGTTCCAAAGCCAACTACAGGCCTAACTAGGAATTCTTAGAGGTAAGGCCCAAAAGTTATAATTTAATTTTATCTGATTTCATTTTTTCTTTTTAGAACTTATTTCATAATGCACACTAGGTGACTCTTGGTGCAAATAAGAGTAATTAAAATTTTACGATCATCCACAAATGCATGTTCTTTTAATATAGTTAGTAATATCTGAATAAAACTTGGAACGGCAAAACTCCACAAAGTAGCAAATATACTTCTTCCATCTAAAGAAACTGACTGGAAGTCCTTGATGAATGAACAAAAGTATGGGGGAAAGGGGTGGGGAGTCTAAAAAAGTCTATGCATAGCTTGTGTCAATGAACAGAAGGTTACTGCCATTTTATTTGTCAGCTGTGCTATTTAACATTCCTTTCTAGCCTTATTATTTTTAAAAGCAATACCTGCCTGATATCTTACAAGATTATTTTGAATCAAGTATTTAGATATTTACATTTTCATTTTTGGCTAGTAAGCTAAAATTTAAAACAGACATTTTTAAATTAAAAACAAAATCACATCTTCATTAGCAAATGAGGAAACCTTGGGGAGAAAACAAAACACAGTTTTCTTGTCTTTAGATTTACTGTCTTATTAAAAAGCAAATAGAATACCACATACCTTTTATTTTTTTCTTTTAATTCAAGCTGTAAAAAATCATTATATGACAACAGATGCTTCCCAAACTTTAAGAAAGACCATGAACAAAGGAATCTTATTAAAAAGTAAATTCTGATTCAGTAAATTGGGTGAAGCCTGAGAGTCTGCATTTCCAACAACCCCCCTGGTGAGGTCTTTCTGTGGTGCTAGTCAGGGAAACACACCAAGAGGCTAGGAATTAGGTACTAGATATTAAACACCTGTAATTAGGCAGAGGCGTTACAAGATTTTTCCTTTTGACCAAGAAACACCATCCAACTCAAATAACTGCTGAGATCTATTCACATACTAAGAGATGTAGGGGTTACACGTACCCACAACATGTCAATATTCAGTAAAGCTAGGGTTAAATAATAACTTAAGCATTGAGTTCAGCTCTGCATTTCCCTTAGTAGTGCAACTAACTGTAACTAACTATATACCTCCGATCCTTGAGCCTGTTTCTTCTTAAGACAATCCTGAGAGGCTTTCAGGCTCAAAACAAATAAGAATTAAGAAGAGCACTGGTAATAACCAATTGATCCACTGGGGCCTTCTACTTCCCCAAATATTGGGGTATGTTTCTGCACCGCCCTAATACATGATCAGTATACTACCGAGAAAAGAGCTGTTGACAGTACGTATATCCTTAAGTTTTTTGAACTTAGTTTTTGAATAAATAAATGTGAACACTCTTGAGTGAAGTCAGACACAACCAGGCCTCCTGCATTTAGCAGGAAGTCTGATGCACGAAAACCAAGAGACATCTAACAACAACGGCAGGCTCATAAATATACCGGACTGCGGGAAAAGGAATGGAAGTGAACAAAACTTAACATTTTCACGCGACCCAGAGGAACACAGCGCTTTAAAGGGCTTGGGGGTGACACACCACTGGTTTTAATAAATAAGCAGGTGTAGCGCCCCCGCCCAGGCCAATTCACAGACTTGGTGTAGGGGCCCGCTTTCCGCGGCCTTCTTGGCTTCACTGCTTTGTCCGCCGCCCCTGGATCCTACATACCGCTCCAGAGCTTTAGGAGGCCACAACAACATCAGGCCCACATCGACAGTGGTAGAGGGACCCACGAGGCGCGCAGCGGTCCTTTCTGTCCGTAACCTCGGCTTCGGCTAGTGCAAACGACAGACTAACACAAGGAACCAAAGTGCGAGAGCGCTGGCGCGGACAGGCTCTAAGGAGTCTCCCCCATGACCCTGGCACCTCTATTGTTTTTGCTCTTCCATTGGCTATTACCGTTCCAACGCGATGTCAAGACATCCAATCGTCGAAAGCCTTCTTAGACTAACATGCTTATTGGTGGCCTAGGGAAATACACTCAATGTTGAACGGAAGTATCCAATGAGAATCCAGGAACACTGAATTGACCCAAAGGACACTCCATTCCCGGAGTTAAAAGCCAAGAAACTTGATTCTTTCAGAGTTAACGATCGTGTGTTGCCAATTGCTGATCCTTGCGTTTGGAAACTTCGAGGAACCTCTTCGCTACTGTGTTTAGGAATTCGAATGTAACGTTTTTACGCTGGCATCTCCATCAGTCCTAACAAAGCAATTATATAATATTCGCTTCTGTGAGTCTACATAACCTTGAAACAGTATTTTTGAGTTTTTACTAAGAACTTACACAATGCGTTGGTCGTTTCTTGGCTTTCGTTAGTATCCACTGTCTTGCAGTGCAAAGGCCGCGAAATACAGCTTTTTGTTTTAAAAGTAGTTTCTTTGAGGAACGAGTTTTCTTTTATTCTTGCAAGAAACGTGATCAGAGAGAATTTCTCAGGTTTGTCATAAGGTAATTCTTCAGTATTATCTTCTGCCTTGTACATCAAAGTAAGGTTTAAAGTATTTGTTTAATGTATGATAATCATTGATATTTTTGTCTTGTTTAGGTATAGATTTAAAAATAATGTTTGTTCTACCCTCTTCTATATGTGCGCCTTTTCTCCCTTTTCCTAATAAACTTGTCCTTTCAAAATGTAAAAAAAAAAAAAAAACACGTAAAATAACATGTCTAAATGTATGTCGTGCAGGACATTGTAAAAGTAATGCACCCATTGTATACAGACCTCTGGTTAAACAGAGGTTTTAAAAAGTTTGATTGTGCTGTGTAGCTTTTATTAAAAGCAGAAGGAATTTGAGAGGCCTCTTCTGGGGAAATAGTGTGCATTCGAGTAAACAGCCAGGACTGTATTCTGCACTGTCTCCAATACTTTGATTAAGCAGTAATCGAATTTAAAAGCCAAGTGATTACTTGTGCTTGAACTTCTTTGCTTTCTAGTAGTACAAGGAAGGTTATTTCTTCCTTCTAATAAACTCCAGTAGAAAATGGGAGCAAAGCAGACAGTAGAAATGGTCACTTTTACCATCATTTGACCTATAGCAAAAACAAGTCTGGTTTGGTTTCTGTTTTTCAAAAACACAAGGAGTAGTGATGAGTGAACAACGAATAAAAAGAAAAAAGATAATGCATAATGTCCAGTGGTGGATGTACCACCCTCATCTGTAACAATCAATTACTGGAAGAGGGTGAGGGAAGGAGTAGGGGGGAAATTGTAAATGTAGAAAGCTGTACGAAAGTAAATATAGAGTCCAAAGTGCACAGTTCATTTAAACATAACCCATTTGGTTGGGCAAATGAAATTACATCCTGCATTCGGTATTGTTATTAAAAACAGCTCAACAATCCAAGAAATTAAACTTGCTATTTTTGCTAAGGTTAAGTTGTGTAATAGAAAGGAGAAGAAATTTGGAATTTTCTTGACTAGCAATTGAGATGATTTTGGCACTATGTTTAGTAGTCTTTGTCTTTTAGAAGTTCTTAATCTAAAATTAAATATAATCAATCTTGCTTCTGACATGAAAGTATTGAGATGACTAATTCTTCCCAGCAAACTGCTATTATAGAGTGTAGGTGACTGACATTAAAAAGCAGGGATTATAGTCACACACAAAAATAATTACCGGTTTCCAAAGCACCAATGGATTACATACCACAGGGAAGTCTTTTAAAATTTTAAGAACTTATAGTCCCATATTTAAAAAAATGTATGAACTTGACGCCAGTGAAGTTATATTACCTGTCATTATGAGTGATTAATTGTTCTTAGCTTCAGATATTTTGCCACAGGATACAGCTGGAAGGAATGTCAGATTTCTCAATAGCAATGTTGCTTAATAAACATAAATCAGAAAATGGCAATTTCATTCACTCAATTATTTAACAATGATTTCAAACACATAATGTGACCTATAGGGCCTTAGCACTGTGTTAGAAGATAAAGACTTAATCACTATCCTCATGGGACTCCTGTTCTATGCAGTGGTTTCTGAAAGTTCTTTTTTAAATATTTATTTATTTATGCATACAGAACTGGGGTACAGGCCAGAAATGCAGGGTCAGTGAGAGAATTCACCAGAGGCAGAGTGGGGAACAAAACAGGCAGGTTGAGGAAATATACTACTGAGGGGATCAGCGGCTGAGATAGGAAAGGTCTCCTGGGCCTTGTGGGTCACCTCCCTGGGGGGGGGGGGGGGGGGGGGGGGGGGTTGTTTAACTTGTGCTGAAGCAGCTACAGCTAGCTTCATGGTGCTGCCCTTTAACCCATTATGCCACCAGGGAGGACCAGTTTCTGAAAGTTTTTGACTGAGCACCTATTTCAGCTTTAAGAAAAAGTTGAGCACACACATAACTCTGATATATGTGTAATTATTCATAAATCCTAAACCTTAACTATAACAGTACATGCATTTTAAAACATGTCAAAGTAGAATTGTTTAAAGACCTAAATAATTATAAATTATAAATAGAATACTAGTTATCCATTTAGATGAAATTAAAATGGCATCTTTATATTACATCTCTGACCAGAAATTAAGTTCCAGAAAAATTAAAAACTCAAGACTAAAAAATAAAATTACTAAAAATCCTTTAAGAAAACCTTGGAGGTCTCTCCCTGGTGGTGGAACAGGTTAAAGCACTGCATTGTGAAGCTCTCAGAAGCCACTGCAGCTGACCAAAACAGTTATGTTTGAGGAGAATATAAGCAACAATATAGGAGGCTGGTGGGGTAACAACTGAGTCCTAGTTCGTGATTTAATGGCAATAAGGCCTCATTCAAAAAAGCTACATGAAGGGAAGACAATAGTGACCACACCTCAGGTGAGAAATCCTATACTGTGAAAAAACAAGAATGTAAAATAATGATGCATCATTAAAAAATATGGATTTTTTTCAAAACAGCTACTTGGTATCATGTGGATCAGACACATCTAATTTTCAACCACTTTCTGGCTGTATGACTTCAGCTACTGAAGATCCTAGTCTCTGAAGAACAGATTATGGCACCCACCTTCCAAGACCTCTGTGGGAATTAAATAAACTAATATAACTGAAAGCACCTAGTCCTATATCTAGATGTTCCAGAAATATAAATTCAGCTCTGCTTTCCAGAAAAGATTTGGTAAAAGCTAATTTATATTTAAAATGAGGTCATGGGTCAGGTAATGATCATCAGTAGCTGTTTTAATATTAAAAAAAGATAACATGTGAACATTATTTAGTGTTTGATGAAGAGTTTACTGCCACGTATGAAGTAATCTTGCTCCCAAAATGAAGTTAAATCCAATCTGTAAATACAGCTCTATGGTTTACAGAAAATAAAAGGAGACAAAGGACTTATTTTTTATTATTTTTGTGTGGCATGGATTGAACTCAGGCCTTAGCAGTGACAGCACTGAGACTGAACCCCAAGATCAGGAGAGAGGCCCAGAGGACTTTTTGCTAATAGGAATGCAATTAGCAAAATCCTGAATGCAGGAAATTTTTTAGATAAATCTCAATCTCTTAACCATAAAAAAAAAAAAACAAGGGGGAAGGACTATGTAATCACCAAATATAATGTGTAGCACTTTGAGATTCTGATATATAAGAAAATAAACACCAATTAATTGAAATACTGAATTGATATTAAGAAACAATTCCTGTTACAGGCCTGATAATGGTACTATAATTATATTTTTAAAAAGACCTTTTTTTTTAAGATTTATTTATTTATTCATACAGAACTGGGGTACAGGCCAGAGATGTGAAGGGTGAGAGGATTCATCAGAGAGAGACCGGGGAGCAGAACAGGCAGATCAATGAAGTGCACTGCTGAGGGGAGCAGTGGGCAAGTCAGGAGAGGACTGCTGTGCCATGTGGTCACCTCCCAGGCAGGCAGGGATGGAACTCATGCTTGAAGTGGCTTTAGCTTCTTAGTGCTGTGCTTTAACCTGCTGCGCCACCAGGGAGGGCCAAGACTTCTTATTTTTTAGTGATACACTCTGAAATATTTATGGATGAAACGACACGCCTAAAATTAGCTTCAAAAGAATCACAAGAAGGCTCAGAAAGGGTATGGATGAAACCAGTAGCTATGAGTTGGTAACTGTTGAAGCCATATGATGGTGAGAGGATTTACTGTGCTCTGCTTATTATTTTTGTGTATTTTTGACATTTTCCATCATTAAATAGTTAGAAACAAAACACTTTAAAGGCTCTCTTTAGGTCAGGCTGTATCTCAAGAGCTTGGTTTATAAAACGAAATACTACTCTGCAAGCAATGATTTTTTGACCTACTTGGATTTCTGCTTTGGGCACTCTGTGCATTGATGTAAGAATAAAATAGTTTCAAGGATGAGAACAACCAGATTTACCAAAAGAGTGTGGCGCTGATCCAAATAAGCACCCCCCTTTTTAGAGAGAGAATGGGAAATGCAGATTTATTGAAACACCTGACACAAGGCAGGCGGGGGGGG